ACCAAGTTAAGGTGAGACCTGTATTAAGCAATTTTTTGCTATCTGTCAAGGTCAGACAAGGTCAGACACACAAGTTTAACAGATTAGACAAACAGACAAACATCTTACAAATGAGTGCGCTCAAATATATTTTTGGCCAAATTGAGTTATAAGTCTCTCCAGGATTTACCTCGGGACCAAGTACAGCACCTCTTAGCTCTTCTGTCAGCGTCAGCCGTCTGGATGAGTCATGGCCATTGCTTGACCAAGCTGCTTTCTGCGAAAGCTTGGGAGATTTTTTTTTTAGTGACTCTCCTTAGGCACACTGTACACCATTGATCACTTTCCTCTGTGTCTCACAGTCTCCTGGATCAGAAGACTGGGGACTCACTGAGTTATAGGATGTTGCAGCAGAGGTTTTTTTTTTTAATGTTCTGTGGCCAAAACATTGGCTGTACTCTTAGCCTATCTATCTTTTTAGCTTTTGGTCTCTAAACTTCAATGTTTGAATATCCAGAAGAGAAGTTAATGTTTTAGTTAATGTTTTAGTATTTGAATCCCTGTAAAATGTTAACAAACAATAGTTATAGTTTTACACAGAAGATTAGAAATCAAAAGCCATACATAATATTGTAGCATGACAATCATGAAACATTTTTGTAACACGCCTGAATGCGCATTTTGACATAAAATAGCCCTTTTAGTCAATTATCCTTATCTAGTACCTAAGAAGCTTTTACCTAGAGAGGCGTGTCGGGTGAAGAGCCTTTGCCCACGGAGCCACACCATCCTGACTCCTGCGCGTCGGAGTGTGACAGCGTGGGTGCAGTGGGGGCTGCAGGGATGCTTGTTGGAGACTCAGTGCTGGTTTTGCCAAGTCAGGGGAGTCTCTGGACTCTCTTGGAGGTGCACATTCCCAGGTTCTGGCCAAGGGCCAACCTTGCCCTGGGTCTTTCCCAGCAGTCAGCCTCAACCAAGTCCTGCTAACCCTTTTTGGCAGTCAGAAGGTGTCATGGTTTGGAGGATATTTTCAAGGGGAAAAATGCAATACAGGACACATATGTTATAAGATATATAATATTTACCCAAGGACACATATGTTATAAGATATATAATAGTTACCCAAGGAATCATATACAAGACAGGGCAGGAAATCTGTTCACACACTAGAGACCAAAGAATCCAGCTGAGGGCCTGGATCCCACAACAATGTCCTGCATGAGTCCAGCTGAAGACCTAGAGCCCATAACAATGCCTCCCATGAGTCCAACTGGAGGCCTACAGACCATGACAATGTCCCATGCAGGCCTGTTTCACGGATCTGTGCTGGGATGGCCCAAAGGTCAGTGGTGGAATCTGGAAAGTCTGTGCCAGCGGGATGAAGGATCTGTGCTAGCAGGCTGAGGGATCTGCACTGGATCCAGGAAGCAATGCTCAAAGTAAGAACCAGAGCTCCCTGAAAGGTACCACCTCAGCCGTCCTCAGCAACGGTGAGGTTCTGAGCTCCTCTGATGATCAGAACAGCCGAGTTCCCAACAGAAAAGACAATGCAACAAGCTTCTCCAAGAGACTGGCAGTGCACCATCTTCTCCCCCGGAGCCAGGAAGTGATGCTCAAAGTGAGGACCAGAGCTCCCCCAAAGTGAACTGAAGCCATTGTCAGTGCCAAAAATGTCCCGAGCTTCTTGGAGGATGAAACAGCCGAGCTCATCCGGAAAGCCAGCACGACAAGGTCCTCCAAAAGAACCGACAGCTGCTTAGAGCTTCTACCAGCTCCCAACAGCCTCTCTCAGCTCCCAACAGGCTTACTTCTGCCTCTTATGCTGCTGGCAACAGTCCTCAGGTGGGCCGCCCACACCCAGCACCACGCTTACTCAGTTCAGCTGGGGGTTATAAGTTGACCACCAGTTGTCAATCCACTATAGAAGGGAAGATGTGGAAGGAGTTACAGCAAGGCAAGGGCAGAGTCACCAAGAGCCACCCTCTCACCACACCGCTACGGTCATTTCTCAGCTGTCCCCTCACTGGAGCAGGCCATGGCTCTTGCCTCACATTCATCAGATATTGTCAGGATGCTCATGCCATGACCTCAAGAAAGCAAGGTATTTAGCCTGGCATGGTAGCACACACCTGTAACCTTAGCACCCTGGGAAGCTGAGGCAGGAGAATCATAAGATCTAGCCCAGTCTGGGCAATTTAGTGACTTAGTGAGATCCAGTCTCAAGTGTTTTTTAGTTTATTTACTTTTGTGTAGTAGGGATTGAACCCTGGGCCTTTATACTGACCCACATCCCCAGCACCCCCCCCTTTTAATGCACTGCCACATCTGCTTCAAAATTTAAAAAAGAATTTTAAAAAGAGGTGGGGATATACCTCAGTGTGAAGGCCTTGGGTTCAGTCCCTAGTACAGCAAAACAAAACAAACACAAAACATCAAACCCAGGGTGTTTTAGGGGCTGGACCTCTGTAAAGGTAAGCAGGGTGCCCAGTACCATCCAGCTGGGAAGTGAAGGTGTGTCCTGCTGAGGTGTGAGGCCCTGGCAGAGTGTCTCCCAGTCCCCAAAGGTACGATAACTTTCTGGTCCTCAGAGCCTGTGAACATTAGTGTCGTGATCTGCGGGGCTGCTACGACCAGGTGAGAAAGTGGTGTCTTGCACCTCCCACTCTGCCCCAGCTCTGGAGCCCAAAAGCCTGAAACCAAGTGCCAGCAGGGCTGGTGGTTGGCGGGAGCTTTGAGGGATGTTATGGTTTATAGTGAGAGGTCCCCCAAAGCCGCGTGTGCTCACAAGTGGGGCTGGGGAGGGGCCTGGGCAGTGGGTACTGCCTGTGATGATCACCCGTGGGCTAGTCCGCCCATGAGTCTATGCTTGACTTGCTGTGTGTGAGGAGGTGGCATCCAGGGGCA